CTCTCCAAATCACGGGTGCTCCTCAAATCATGGATGCTCTTGCCATCAGGAGTGCTCCCTGGATCAAGGGTGCTCCTCAAATCATGGATGCTCTTGCCATCAAGAGTGGTCCCTGAAGCAGGAGTACTCCCCGAATCAAGTGTGCTCCTCAAATTGTGGATGCTCTTGCCATCAGGAGTAATCCCTGAACCAGGACTGCTCCTCAGATCAGGAGTGCTCCCCGAATCAGGAGTGCTCCCTGAATCATAAGTGCTGTCCACGGAGAGCGGCCCCAAGGCAGGGCAGGCCAAGTCCCCCCTCACTGTCACCCCAGGGTGGCCCCTGCCTACATGGGGGCTCAGTTTCCCATTTCCTGTCTCCCCGCCTGAAGGAGAGCTGGGCAGGACCCTGACCCCATGTCTGACCTCAGTCCCACAGAACAACGAGAAGCTCCAGGAGAGCCCGTGTATCTTCGCCTTGACGCCAAGGCAGGTGGAGCTGATTCGGAACTCCAGGTACCATGGCAGCCCGGACACTCCCCTGCAGATGAAGGGCCTGGGGGACAGGGGGAGGCTGGGTTAGGGGGGCCACCAGTGACTGATGCTGGTCCCAAATTGGCCAAAGCAGTGGCGGGGAGAGGGGAGTCAGCGTTCCAGAAAACCGCGTCCAGTGTGCACTGGGCATCGAGCTGCAGGTGCTCCAAGAGAGGGATGGTTGTCCCCTGAGCAGGGATTCCCCTTGGCACTGCTGGCATGGGGGCCGTCCTGTGCACTGTGGGGTGTTGAGCAGCATCCCTGGTCTCCACCCACTCAATGCCAGTAGCACCCCCACCAGTCATGACACCCACAAATGTCCCCAGACATCACCCAGTGTCCCCTGGGGGCAGAATTGCTCCGAGAGAGAACTCCTCGGTTAGGGGCTTCCTCTGACCCCCCCCCGCAGAGACTCTGTCTCATAATCATCTTTCCTACTGACGTGCTAGGACGCTGCCCACATTTGAAGCCACACACTGAGGGGGAGGGATCAAAAAAAACCTGTTGCTGTGGGGTCGTTGCGACTCCCAGCGACCCTGCAGGACAGAGTGCCACTGCCTCACGGGGCTTCCAAGCAGCAGCTGGTGGATTCAGACTGCCGGCCTGGCGATGAGCAGCCAAGCTCTTAACCACTGCGCCACCAGGGCTCCGAGGGGGACAGAGAGAGGAGGGGAATCACCTGGGAGTAGCCTCCGCTCTCCTTGGGGGAGGGGTCCACATGGCTGCTGGGCCTCCTTCCTGACCCCCTCCCCTCTCCACAGAGAGCTCCAGCCGGGGATCAGAGCTGTCCAGGTCGTGCTGAGGTAAGCACAGGTGTACGTGCAGCCCTGAGGGCCCTCGGCTGCTCTGCTTCCCTCCCTGTGGATGGTCCCCTGCTGCCTTCACCCCCCCCAAGCCCATGTCCCACGTGCAGCCAGGCAGAGCCCCTGGCTCCCTCCCTTCTCCTGCCCGGAATGAACATGCCACTGTCCACCCAGCCCCAGGCCAGAAGCCTGGGATCCCCTGTGACCCTCAGATCCTCCAGCATCGAGATACCTGAGCCCAGCCCTGGCTCCCATGCTCCACGGCCCCTCCAGCCCCCCTCACGGCAGCGGCGCAGCATGCCTCCTCTGCCCGTCCCCTCAAGGCCCGGTGGTGCTTGTCCTTGCAGAATCTGCTACTCAGACACCAGCGGCCCTCAGGAGGACCAGTACCCACCCAACATCGCCGTCAAGGTCAACCACAGCTATTGCTCAGTCCCTGTGAGTCTGCCCGCCTGGCCAGAATATGCCAGGATTAGTGTCTTCCGAGTCCACGGATCTGCTGCCAGGGTGGGGGGCTTTGGCTGCAGGGTGGGGGGCCGGGGGAGAGCCGCCCTCCCCCCCCCCACCAGTGGAGTGAGCCGGTGTGTGTCTGACCCCAGGGCTACTACCCCTCCAACAAGCCGGGCGTGGAGCCCAAGCGACCTTGCCGGCCCATCAACCTCACCCACCTCATGTACCTGTCGTCCGCCACCAACCGCATCACCGTCACCTGGGGCAACTATGGCAAGGTGAGCGCGCCCCCGCCCGGCCTCCCCCAGAGCCCGCGCCGGGGGTCCCTGCCCCCCCTGACACTCCCCTCTGCCCCCAGAGCTACTCCGTGGCCCTGTACCTGGTGCGGCAGCTGACCTCCTCCGAGCTGCTGCAACGGTTGAAAACCATCGGGGTGAAGCACCCAGAGCTATGCAAGGCGCTGGGTAAGTGCGGTGCTGTCGTGCGCCGTGATGGGCGGTCACGGCTCCGGCCCTGCCAACCGTCCCTCTGTGGGGTGTGGGGTGTGGGATGCTGGCCCGGCCTTCCAAGAGCTGACATCTGCGGGGGGAGGGCTGCCGTGGACTCAGGGTTCCCAGGGGCACAGCTGTGGGACCCTGGGACTGTCAGTACGCCCCAGGACAGTGCCTGCATTGGCGGGCCGAGACACCCACGTGGCTGAGCGGTCAGGGGAGGTCCTTGGAGGAGGCAGGAGGAAGCAAGGCAAATGCAAAGGCCCTGAGGCAGGGACAGCATGGTGGGTTCAGAGAAGTGTGGGGACAGAATCCATGGGCGGCGAGGCAGGGAGGACTGCTGTCAGTGCTGTGGGGTTGGGGCCTTGTTCAGCCCCGGAAGGGCTGAGGAGTGCGGAAGGGCCTGGGGGATTGGTGTTCTCAAGGCCCAGACCTGTGCTGCCTGGCTGGGCGCTGCAGCCACGGGCCGGTCCTCTGGGTACCTCAGTGTGCTTGTCTGTGAACTGCGGTGGCTGCCGACAAGGAGAGAGACGCGTAACGGTGCAGTGTCGTGGGGTGGGCCCTCGGGGTGTGGCTCTGGACAGGCAGCTGTAGCCAACGGCTGTGGGCCCCAGGGACCCCCAGGCCGGTCCCACCAAGTTAGGTGTGTATGGCCTCAGGCAGGAGTGGAGACCAGTCCGTCCGCGTGAACCCGAAGGAAGTGCTGGCATGAAGGGGTGGCCCTGGTGGGTACCCAGTGCACGGATTCCCCCCAGGGTGGGAGCCGATGGCTACCTGTTCCTGGCCACCCTGCCCTGGCCATGGCCCCCCAGCTCCCGTCACCCCTGACTTGGCGAGGGGTTCCCACTTGGGGGCCCCACAGGGTGACCTCTGACTATACCCATCTGAGCTTGGCCAGCCCTGGAGGTGGGGGCCTGGGGACATAGAGCAGCAGGGTTAGGGCTCAGTGACCCTCTGTCTCCCTCTCCCCTCAAAGGGCCCTTTCTTCAGCCTCCACCTGGGGACAATGGCGATCTTGACCAGCGGGGGCGGGCTCCCCGTGTGCCCACAGGGCTGATTGGCTGGGTGGCAGCGAGTGCAGCCACGGTTGGGCAGGGCTGACCTGGGTCTTGCAGGCCCACAGCCAGGCTGTGGAGCTGGCTCTCTTGGGGGCCTGCCTTAAGTCTTCCTCAACCAGCCAGGGCCCAGGGCGCCGGCCTAGAGCCCTGTGTTGCTGGCACCTTCTAGTACCTTGGGGACTGGAGGGTCGGAGGTCCTCTCCGGATAGGCTGGCCTGGAGCCGGCACTTCTGCACCTCCGTTTCTCTCCACTGGCAACCAGGAAGTCCTGTTGTTTGTCTCACCCACGCTCTTCCTGCTGCACACGTCTTTCCGTTAGAGGAGGAGAGGGAGCCAGGCCTGGCCAGAGAGACTCAGTCAGCTGCCCAGCATCTTTCTGGTGTGGCTGAGGCCCGTGGGTCCACCATCAGCACTTGTTAGCCAGAGAGCGGGAACCAAAGGGTATACAGTAGTTCATACTCAGGTGTGAATGACTGATGTGACCTTGGCATGGAATGCAGGGAGAGGTGCAGAAAGAGGAGGCAGAAGTGCTGAGGGACCAGGAGGGGTCGGATGAAGGGTGGGGGCATGGGCAGTGGCCACAGGGGAGGCCGTGGAGGGCTACATAATGGGGAGCAGCAGCCATGAGGGGGCTTTGGGGGCAGGGCCAGGGGGTGGCACCCCTTCCCACTTGGCGTTTCGTCCGTGTCCCTCGTGGCCCTGCGCACGGGGGCGCAGCCCATGCGTCTCATCGTCCTGAGAGTGGCTTTGGTCTGGGAGGTGGATGTCCGGGCACCGTATGGACTGTTCCCTGCCTGTGAACTGGGGCGTGGGCAGCGCCCACCTCGCCAGATGCCGCCGGGGATGGGGGCAGGTAGGGTGTCCCCACGGGCATCTTGGTGCAGCCCCGGCCCCCCATCCGCCCGGCTCCAACGGCGCCCGCCCCCTTCTCCACAGTCAAAGAGAAGCTGCGCCTGGACCCTGACAGCGAGATCGCCACCACCGGCGTGCGGGTCCCCCTCATCTGCCCGGTGAGTGCCCCCCACCGCTCCCCCTCGCGCGGCCCGTGGTGCCCTCTCTTCCCCCACCTGGTGGCTCCCTGTCCCCCCACACTGGGCGGCGTTCTCGGCGGTCGCCGGGCTCACTGAGGGCAGGGATGGTCATTCTTTGGTCCTCGCGGCGTCCCTGATGGTCCAGAAGAGGCCCGGGGCTGGGGGCTACGGAGTAGCAGCCTGTCCCACTCTCCCCCCGCCAGCTGGTGAAGATGCGGCTGTCAGTGCCCTGCCGGGCGGAGACCTGCGCCCACTTGCAGTGCTTCGATGCCGTCTTCTACCTCCAGATGAACGAGAAGAAGCCCACCTGGATGTGCCCTGTGTGTGATAAGCCAGCCCCCTATGACCAGCTCATCATTGACGGGTGAGTCAGGGGCAGGCACAGTGGGCCCCACCTGCCTGTCTGGGCCCTGCTGTAGAAGAAAGGACAGACAGACAATTCCTGGGGTTCCCTGTTGTTTCTGATTTTATAGAGATGCTGGATAGTTCCACAGTGCAGCCTGAGCTCTCTCAGCAGGGTGTCACAGACAGGCATATGGCCACGGGGCTCGGGAAGCCCCGGATTACCAAAGAGACGATTTCTTCCCGCAGGACTTCTTAGCGCCTCCCCTGAGCAGGAGGCAGCCCTTGTGGCTTAGGGTCCAGAAGGTGGGCCTGGACTCGGGGTTCTGTCATTGTTCCCTGTGGCCTCGGCTGTGTGGTTACCTCTGAGTCTCGGTGCCTGCTCGCGGAGTACAGGGCCCGCCGGAGCCCCGGCCTTGAGAGGTTGCTGCGTGGACTTGGGAGCTACTTCCCGAGCAGCGTCCACGCAGAGAGCACTCAGGCTTAGTTGTCCCTCCAGGCAGGAAGGACAGAAGCCTCCCCAGAGGCCTGGCCACACTCACTTGTCCCCCACCGTGGTGGCGCCGAGCATAGCAGCCGGTAGGGGCCACGCCGCGGCGATGGAGGAGGAAGCCTTCTCACCCCTGGAGAACTTTCCTGGGGTTTTAGGTTTCCAGAAACTGGACTCCACTGTCCACAGCACCTGACTTGGCTCCTGCCAGGCCCGGCTGCACCTGCCTGCTGTCCCCGAGCCGCTGGGCAGGGGCACGGGCGGCCTACCTGGGCAGCAAGGGGCACGCTGCTGACTGCCGTGTGGCGCCGCCGGCCCCGTCCTCGGCCCTCAGGGGACCCGAGACGCGGG